ACCAAGTGTATATTCACACGGTAGTTATTAGTATGGGAAGAACCTATCCATCTGCAACGGGAGTTCCAACGTCAGGAGCTGCTCAAGGCCAGGTCCATTATCGGCTTCTTCAACTTTTCCACTTGGACAAGCAGAAACCGTTCGTTCCCGAGTCGTGTTCAGCAAACTCTCCCTCTCACCTCACACGTACCAGTGCATGCACACGGAAATGCTAGAGAGACCACAGGAGAAAGACGCACAGTGGTTTATTTCGCCGTGGCTGTGCCCAGTGTGGGGGGCAGCGCTGCAGGGTCTGGACAGCGCTGCCTCGCCCTGGCCTCCCCTCCTCCTGCCCCAGCTCCGCCCTTTCCCTACAGGATCAAACTTCCGGAAGAAAGGTGACACTGATGAAGAAGCATTTTGTTTCAATACCAAACTGCAGGCAGTTGCAGTCCTCTCCCTCTCTGAGACTTCCTAGTGACCCAGGCCAGGTGTGCACGCCAGGGGAGGGGCCCAAGCCCACGGTCCCCCTGGATGTCCCTAAACGCTCTGAGGGCCCTCGTGGTGGGAACCCCCAGACAGAACGGCTTTGCTTGCGGAACGCAGCGCTGCCTGCCAGCCTGCTCACGGCTTCGCAGCCCCCTTAGCAACAGCGTGCAGAGGAACACGCGGTGAGCAGCGTCTGCGCCAGCTCCCCAGGCATCACCACGCGGCAGCTTCCAGCCTCTGCGGTCCCAATGTCATCTCAGACACAGATGTTCCGGAAGTTTCTCCCACTTCATCCATCGCCAGTGAACGCCCTGGCCTGGGACCTTGTGAAAGCAAGCGCACACACAGCCTGGGCCACCCTGCCTGGCTGCTCCAGGAGGGAGGCTCTTCCTAGACCTGAGACCCCCTTAATGCAGGGCCAAACTAAAGCCACAGAGGGTGGATTGCTACAGTCTGGTCTCCAGAGATGCAGGCCACAGAAACACCACCACACTCCAGATGGTCATCTTCCCATCACACACACACACACACACACAGGCACATGGGTATACACACACACATATGCACATACACACAGGCACATGGGTACACATACGTACACACACAGGCACACGGGCATACACACATGCACACACATACATATGCACACACACGCACAGGCAGAATTTTTATCACATACAGGGAGATAAATCAGAGGTGCATGATGTGTTGCGGAGTCTGCCAGCACCAGGAACAGGTGTCCACAGGGTGCCCTCAGCAGTGGGGAACACTTTCCAGCAACCTTCAGAAACACTCAGGGAAAAGACGTGAAGAGGTGTGCAACACATTCTTCTAGAAAACTCTATGCCCCAACCCCGTCTAAGTTCTCTCCTTTAAAGACACTCTCAGAAGGGAGTAAAGGAGGGAGGGAGGGAGAAGTACGAAGATAAAAACCCACGTGTCAGATGCCAGTGACATCAAGGTCAACAGTTCAGCTTTGCAGACAAACGATTTTGTGTGTGTTTACATCTCTGTGTCTTAGAGCTCACAACCTCGAGATCATGTGCCCCAAAGCACCAAGTTCAATGAGAATGCAAACGTGGGGACCGTGCCGTCACAATCCTGGTTGATGATAACTTTCTTTGACACGTTTGTGCAATTATAAAACGTCTCTTCCTCAAGGAGGAAGCTTATCCAGCCATCCAATTTGCAAATGAAGAACTGGCCTGCAGTCACTCAGCCCCCAACCCTGCACCGATGGGACAGAATCCCAGTGTCCCCACCAGAGTCCAGCCCTGAGCAGGCCTCCTTCCCATAGCTGCTAGCTTCAGACTCCTACCCCTGCATGAGATGGGTGTCTTCACCCTCCATGGCCTCTCTGCAGGGGGGCCTCCCTCTGACACCCTGAGCAAGTTCAAAACACAAGACCCGCCCCGGCCTGCCTCAGGTGTCTTGTGATGATTGGCCAACCTAGCTCAGGTGACCTGTTTGGGAATAGGGAAATCGTGGCAGCTGCAGGACACTGGGGCTATTTTATAGGTGCATGGGAAACAGGTGCACAGAGACCCCACCCCCACCCCCACCCCCTGCCACGCAGGCCTGCCACAGGTAAACCAGGGCTTTACCCCCGCCCCCCCCACCACTGTGATGTGTGGTTTTTAAACCACAGCTGATCTTTATAAACGAAGTAGGTCAATCTAGGTTTTCCATTTTTATTCTTCAAACTTTATAGACACACCTATTACAGAAAATACCACAGACCTCTAAATACCAAGACTGCTAGGAAACAACACAGCACCATAAGAGGTCTATTCTTTAAAAAGCAAACTTCAGTCCCTCAAATGCCATATTCATGTATAGAAAAAAGCAGTCACTCAGAAGTTTTGGTAAAAACAGGTGAAATTAATGAACCTGCTGCTGGCCTTAGACCCCTTAAAACACCATAAATAATTTTAAAACATACAATAGCAGCACAAACCCATACAGGCAACAAGAGATGAGGCCCTGGTGATGGAAGCCAGAGAAGCAATCAACCGGTGGTCGCTGACTTACCTGAGCCCAGACAGCGGCTGAGCCGGGAGACCAGGAAGCGAGTGCGCATTTCAGGCAGAGCAGCCGGTGAGGCCACATCGGCACACAGAAGCCAGAAAAACCAACTTTGCACACATCCAAAATACATACGGAAAAAAAGATGTCAAAAAGTACCCCTGACTTCCCCAGAGAATAATGCTATTTAGAAGGAAAAGCATTAATGGTCAAAAATCAGGTGCATCCGTTAGGGTGCAGAGCTGAAGCCCAGTCCCAGCAGAAAGTGTGGGAGATAAAACCGAGGCTACCTGTCCATACTCAGAAAAGGCGGGGACAGAAAACAACAAAACCAGTAAGAAAACTACAAACTAGTGTGGCTGGGCCGTTACTCGGCCAACAGAAAACAGGACCAATGCAAAACAAAGACCCCAGAACTGAAGGACGGAACTCCAGGGCTGAATGGGCTGCATGCCCACTACCATGCATGAAAGCAGGTCCATGCACAATTCTAGAATACCAATCCTGGGAGCACCCAGAGGTCAAAAAAGGTCCAAAAACAAGAGAGGCACCCGACTGCACCGTGAGACCACAGGACACGAAGCTTCCAGTATTCCAGAGGATGGTGATTTCCACTCTGCAGCTGCTTGTTTCTTATTTTTGAAAATTTATTTATTTGAGAGGGAGTCAGAGATAGAGACAGAGATCTTCCAACCACCAATTCACTTTCCATGCCCACAGTAAGTAGGGCGGGGCCAGGACAGAGTCAGGAGCCCAGGACTCAATCCAGCTCTCCCATGTGGACACAGGGACCCCAGCACTTGGCTGACACTGCTGCTTCCAAGGGTCTGAAGAGGCAAGAAGCTGGAACCATGCAGAGTGGGGAACTGAACCCAGGCACACCCATTTGGGACAAGGACATCTTAACAGCTTAGCTAAATGCCCACCCGCGAGCTGGAGTTTTATACCCAGCTGGATTATCCAGTAAGCACAGGGAAGAGTAAAGATGACCATATGCACGTGAGGTCTCAAAAACTCTCTCACATACAACTGCGTGTCAGGAACCCTCGGAAGTTAGATTCTGCCTGACACAGGAGTGAATGAAGGAGAGGGAGAAACAGGGTCCAGGGAAGGGGGGCACAACACACGAGCAGAGCCAGGAAACCCCCCGCACGACAGAGCAGCAGGCATGGGGTCCGGGGGTGCTTCTGCAAGGTGAAGCTGATAGGGTCCCAGTGAGCAGAGAAGGGAATAGAGCCCACACAGTGAGGGAGAAAGAACTTAGACTGTTCATGGGTAAGTGTGCAGAAAGCTCAAAGGAGGTAACAATTCTCGAGGAAACAGAAAGACCCCCAGGGAAGGAATAACCACCATCATGTATGGAACTCCCACTACAAACGCACTCCTCCATGTGCTCACAACAACCCAAGTGCAGACTGCAGATTCCCAGGGCCGTGGCAAAGACGTGTGCAGTGTAAGAGGAAGTAAACCAAAACCTCAATATCCAAACACGACGCCAATGGCGGAGCCCCAGGCAGAGAAACCCAGGCACAGTTACATGAACCATTTTACTTAGGAACATAAAAAACAAAGTTCATGCAGCAGCCCAGAGAGGCTTCAGGACCGCTCCTGGGAGGCTGGAACGGGCTGGCAGCACGGCCGCTCTGCCTCTGCTCTCAGCAGCCCATGACCAGGTTCCTTTATTCTTTACAGCACACGAGTTCGACCTTGACTTTGGCAAACTACATTTAGAAAAGGATGCTACAAAGACCAGCATCCGCACATTCCAGCGTCCCAGAAACGTGCACGCTGGCGCTGTTTCTCCACTGCTCTCTTGCCCTTGGATTTCCTCAGCCAGGTCCCGCGAGTGCACGCCCCGTCCCACTCTGACGCAGCACCTGCGTTTGTCATCAGTCCCTTTTTGTCTGTCAGACGGCATGGCGGCCAGCACTGGTGCTGCCACTGGTCAGTTTCCACTCGCTGAGCACCTCCTGAAACGTGAGAGCGTGCGTCTCACTTCACACCACCGACAGCACAACCCACACCCTCCTCTCACGTCCGACTGCTCAAAGCTTGGGAGACGCTAGCACACACCCACCTCCTCAGGGGAGGGCTCGACCATCAAGCAACCATGCTCAAGAGTCTGCAGATCCCAGACACCGGGAGCCAACACTTCCCTACCAGGTTTCGGCATCAACAACCATCGACACCTGGACCAGCCAGGCACAGAAACAACGCCTGTGACCCCCTAACTGGTGTTTCAGGTAGAAACATTGTGCACAACCACCAGCTCTACACACAGTGCACAGAGGAAGCCTCTGCTGAAGACGGATCCAATGAGAGAGAGAAAACACACACGAGCGCAATGGCACCTGCTCCACGCCAACACCTGCAGCCAAGCTGGTCACAGCCACTGCCAGGGATCCCAGCAGAGAATGCAAAGTCTTCCAGTGCAAGACGCCGTGCACCCCCAGCCTACCACGCCTCCTCTCCCCAGCTCCGGAAGACAGGAAAAGAAACGGACTTACCTCTCACAAGCACGGACCGTCCACGCGGCAATTATCCACAGCGAGATACTAAAGACCAGGAGCACAGTTCCTGGGCATATCGTCATCAACGTCTTCATAACAAAGCGAGTATTGAAGTTTATCTTATTGAGGGCCCCGATGCTTCTGGACGACGCGTCGGTGAACAGTTTGCTATGCAGGAGCATGACTCTGGCAATCAGGTAGAGTCTCAAAAACATCGGGATGGACAGAATGATATCCACGTCGGCGGTGGTGGTGGAGGGGGCGTAGGAGAAGGCGAGCCGGGCCGTCCACGTGAACGTGTAGTTCCCAGGGATGGGGTGGATAGCACACACCAGTATTTCCAAGCAGATGAAGAAAATGCGCTCGTAGGTCATCGCTATTCTCCAGTCATCTGCTCCGTTGTCCACCATGAACAACTGCAAAAGTAAAGCAGGAAGTCAGCCTCAGTGCGGCAGGCACGGTCCACATGCGCCATGCAGGGTCTCGGACACACACGGGGCATGTGCACCAGCACGCAAGCGCGAGGCCACCCTTTCAGACGCTGGCTGCGTGCGCCACTCTTAGTGGGGAGTCTTTGGTAAAAACTAAAGTTGGAAACTGGCTACCAAGGAGCTCAAGTGGATTTTGGAGGCCACATTCCTAGACAAGCCTGCAGGTGACATCACCAGGCCTGCCGGTGACATCACCAGGCCTGCAGGTGACACCACCAAGTCCATGTGTGGCATTACCAGGCCTGCCGGTGACATCACCGAGTTTATGTGTGACATCATTGGGCCTGCAGGTGACATCACCAGGCTGCCGGTGACATCACCGAGTCTATGTGTGACATCATTGGGCCTGCCGGTGACATCACCAGGCCTGCCAGTGACATCACCAGGCCTGCACGTGACATCACCAAGTCCATGTGTGACATCAGCAGGCCTGCAGGTGACATCAGCAGGCCTGCAGGTGACATCACCGAGTCTATGTGTGACATCACCAGGCCTGCAGATGACATCACCGAGTCTATGTGTGACGTCATCGGGCCTGCAGGTGACATCACACTCACACAGAACGGGCTCGGGGCTGCCAGTAAGGACACCTGCCTCTGAGAAGTCAGGCTGCACTTGTTGCAAACACCACTCTAACCCTGTGTGAGTCTGCATTTGAAGCCGCCCCCTGCTCTGTGCACATTCTCAGCCCGGTCTCCCGCAGTCACTCATTCCCCGGAGGACAGCAGCTCGCAAGCGGTGCCCCTGGGAACCTACTCTTGGTTTCAGAGGAAACCCCCAGGGGCCACAGGCAAGCGTGGCGGTGAGGCTCCATGCAGCTTCCCCACTGCTGCGCTGCTGTCTCTTTTCTTCCATTCTCCTACAGCCTTCCCTTCAATTATTAATTTGTTTTCAAACTTACTTTCTTTAATCAAGGCTCCTTTTTCCTATTCCTGTCATTCCTCACAGCACAGTCAAGGAAAAACAAACCAGAGAGACAGAGTGAGAGAAAGCAAACAAAAAACAGTGAAAGGGGCAGAAATGCGTGTCTCTGCTTCTCCCTGGCTTCCAGCGCCTGGAGACCAACCGGTAGTGGCTTTTCTCAGACGCCCAGCCGGCTGCCAGGCTGGGCGTCCCACGCATCAGGAGACCCGTGTGCCCAGAAAGCCCCCAGGCTGCCTACTGAGACAGGAGTCACGGCGCTGCTTCTGCTTGGCAGCCCCCGTGGGAGAAGGCGCGGGATAAAAGCCACCGGCTGAGAACCACACCTTCTCAGGCCGGGATCCCAGTCAGACAGAGGCAGGGCGGGTTTCCCTCTGCCTGGGTCTTTGTCTTCCAGAGTCCAGAAAGGAATTCTGCACTACTCAGAGGGTTAAAATGCCCCTTCTTAATTAGCCTGCAATTCGCAGGCGGGACATTATTCAAACTAGGAGCTGCCATCAGTGTCCCTGTGCCCAGAGAGGAATCTCAGGATGGGAAATGGCCTCCTCTTTCTGCTATCAAAAAGACATCTAAATGCTGAGAAATTAGGCGCGACAATGCCCTGGTTTAGCTGTACCTTTATCATAACCTTTCATCTGGGCTCCTGACATGAGTAGGCTGACAACAAAACTCCTTGTCCAGTTTCAGGAGTGGCTCATGGGCACAGCAGGCCGGGGCTGTGGAAATCCCACTGGCCCTCTTCGCCTGCGATGACCCCCAGCACGGAGGACTTCAGGGGAGACACAGGAAACATGCTGGAGGCCTAAGGATGGACGCCTTTGAACCTCTGCACTGGGCTGCTCACTGGGGAGGGGCTCCAGTTCTTAAGAAGGGGACATCAGAACGGCCACATCCCTCTGGCCAGGGAAGGTTCTCTGTCGGGACAAACTCAATGCTCTCTTTGGAAACTGCCGCCACGAGTCACGAAAGCAAGACAGGGCTGCTCCTTCAACTCCCATTCCCACTTCTGCCCCAGCTGGTGTCACCCAGCTCAGTCACTACTGTCTTCACCAGGCTGGGCTCCGACGGACCCTTCAGTTTGCAGAAACCGAGTCCAGGTGCACAGGGTGAGTGCAGCCAGGCCTCCGAGCTGCCTGGGCCGTACAGGGAACCTGAGCAGGGTTCTGCTCCCCACGCCCTGCTGGGCGGCAGCGGTGTGGGTGCAAGCTGCTGCCACCCCTCCCATCCTTGAAGTGCAGTGGGGCCCACAGAGGCGCCACACACCCCAGCAGCGCGGGCCTCCCCCGCGCTCCGCAGGAGCCACAGATGCAGCTGCACCGTGCCCTCCCTCCTCACCTGCCCCCGTGCCCGCCTCGCTTGTCTGCAGCAGTCCATCCCCACGTGAGAGCCGTGGGCCTGGGCACAGCTCCCAAGCGAGGTCCAATCCCTGCCGCTACGCAGCACAAGGAAAGTGTGCGAGCCCCGAGCGCAATGGGGCTACCCTAGGCGGCCTTCGCTCTCCTCTCCATCACCACTCGCGCAGAGACCCCAAAGACAAGACGTCGCAGTCCAGAGATCCGTCCCTGCGCTCCCTTTCTTGCCAGCCGGCCGTCCTTTCCAAGATGCAGTGTGGCTGCTCCTAGGAGTCGCCTCCTCCACCCTCCCTTGGAGGAGCCCCCACTCTGGACCTCTCCTGCCATCCTCTAATGACTTCCCTAAAATCTCAGTCGCGCCAGGCCACAATCACCAACACAGAGACCATCCAAAGGCTCCCCTTGAAGGGCGCCCTCCCCCTAGGCCCGCAGCAGGCGGGCTCTGTGCAGCCTGGCTTAAGCTGCCTCCCCACCCTCACGCCCTCTGCCTCTCCCTGTCATCCCGCATGGTCATGGTCGCAAGTTCCTGAGCACCCAGCCCTCCTCAGGCTTCTGCGTCCTGGAACGTCCCATTCCCCAGCCTGGGAGTCCATCCAGATCCGACATCATCTCTTGAGGGGGCGTCCAGGGCCACACAGATCCGACCTCTCCCCCACCCCAGCCCCACACTCTGCCTCATGCCTGGGTGCACCTCTTACTGCCACAGCCCTGGAGACCTGCAGATTTCTCCGCCAGACCCTCAGCCCACCTGTCTGTGGGCTCCTGCCCACCGGAAACCACGTCTACCATGCCAGGACAATCGAAGCTTGTTTATGGAACTGCCAGGTGACTTCTCACCTGACAACAACCACCCAATCACCGCCTGAGTCCCAGTGACACTGAGGAGGACCCTGGAGGGCGCAAACACCGAAAGCCAATGCAAGTTAAATCCATGAGATTTTCCAAACATGTAAAGGACATATTCTACTAAGTCACAAGTTATCATAGCAAGACTTTGCAATTCCATAGGAAAATCAGATGATTTTCCCTCAGAAACACACTGAAATAATTTCTGGTTTCATTTTGTTTTGCCACAGCTCATAACTCAATGTCAAGCTTGATGAAGAAATACTTTCTTTTACTCTCCACATAATCCCCACCTCTGATGCTACTTCCTCGCTCACTCCTCCACGCAATACCCAAGGTACTGAACACTCAGGGTGGGGCCAGCACGCACAGCAGGAGGCACAGCAGATGTAGGGTCTGTCCACTGAAACCAACTTTCACTGGGAAAGACAGACCAAGGCAGACTTAAAGCAATTTAATTAAGTAATTTTGTCTGTGGACATAGCTATGCAGGAAACAGAGACAAAACAGAGAAGAATAAATGAGAGATGACAGCCAGATGTGGCCATTGGGCAGACAGCAGAGAAGCATCATTTAAGCAAGACCTGGACCCAGAGACGAGCTGGTCTTATCAAGAGCCAGGGGAGAACAGCCCAGGCAGGGGAAGGAGCTCACGCACAGGCCCTGAGCTTTCTAAAGGGCTAGCAGGTGTCGAAATGAAGGGATGCCAGAGTGGCTGAACCTTAACCATCCAGGCGCAGACAGAAGAACAAACTGCCATCAGACGGCAGGACATGGCTAGTCACGGTCTCTAGACTGGATTCCATTGCCAGCCAGAGGAAAGATAGGAGCTGATTTAGACCCTGGGGGGCCCACCCTTGCTGGTGGGAGAGAGGCTGGTGTTGGGGGAGGACCCGCGGCAGGAAGACCCACAGCCCTTCACCGATGGGAGCAGCCCCGTGACCTGGCAGGTGTCTGGGACACGAAGTTTGGAGCCCTTGTCAGAACCTCTCGATGGATGCAGATGGGAGGGGCAGAAGAAAGAGAAGACCCTGGAGGCCACGGCATTTCCGCCCTGGAAAGTGGGGTGGGGCATGGGGGTGTGTGTGTGCCATCGCCTGAGCATTCAGGCCTGGGGCACAGGGCCGGGCCACCACATGAGCACGGATGCCAATCTCAGAGAAGTGGGGCAGTCGAGATAGATCTGCAAGCCATCAGTCCAAGAACACTTCAAAGGGTTCACAGCAAAGAGAAATAAAAACACCTCCGAAAGCCACGCACAGCTTTGTCCTGAAGCTCGTTTTCCATGAGCGTATCGAGGAGACTGCCTGAGACTGAAGAAGAAACAGGAGAAGCAGCCGCATGGTGCGCAGGCCGTACCTGGAGGGCAGCTGGGAGGAGGTGTCCAGGAGCCTGGGAGCTGCAGCAGCACCATGGGCTGGCCTGGGCACTGCGGGGAGCTCGCCAGGTACAAAGCAGAGGGCTGCGCTGAGCAGGCTGAGGTACAGTGTCGCCCCGCGTTCTGCACAGCAGAGAGCACTGACCATCGCCAGTGTTCAACAGCCCTCTGCACGCCAAGCGCTGAAAGCCGGCGGCAGAACTGTCCCCATGGCCTTCTGAGGAGTCACCGTAACCCGCGTCAACGTGATCTGTGTCAAGCTCGATTTAAGGGAGTAGTCAGAGGCCTGATATTAATCCATCTGCCCAATGTCAGAAAGACTAACATTGGGAAGAGAAGGAAGACTGCAGGGCAAAGTCCCACGGCTTCCTCCAGCAGGCACTCTCGGCCCAAAACCAGGGCTTAGGGGCCGGCACCATGGTACAGGG